ACAGGCTGTTCCTTTTTTCGAATGAAAGTTTTATCAGTTAGGTTTTTCTTTAAAAACGTTTCACACTTCATTTTCAGTTTTCTTCGACTCCATCGACGATCGTCGGAAACGCTTTAAGCGACGACTTGTTATTATTGGAGAATGTGCTATGCGGAGCTTTTCAAGCGGCCCAACACGTAACAAAGAAGAGTTTCCTTCGTTCGCAGGAAACGGTGGAAGCTTTCTTCGATACTTGTTTGACCGATGGTAATACGATCGTTTCCAGTTCTGAGAGTTGTGAATCGAATCGTACTCACTCACCGACTTTGCCCATTTCTACACATTCTTCGGGAAGATCGCAACCAAAGACGAATCACAGCCCAATCGGCTCTCCTCGGGTAATCGATATAGTATACGTATAAGCGTTTCTTATATGCTTAGAAAATTTCATCTGTGATCAATATTGCGATATATGCATAATCTGTTCGATGCCAATCCTTAGATCACCGCCACATCAACGTGCAGACCGGCGCAGATTTTCTCCTGTTCTTCAAGCTGTTCGCCTTCTTCTTCGAATCAGTCGTACGGTGACACATCAAGTCCGAACAGTTCGTTTAAGTATCAGACAGCAGCCGGCTCGCGAATCGAGGAACAGGATTTCGAAAATTTCCAGTTTTGCAGGCTCGATGGCGATACTGTCGTCTCCAACACCGTAGTAAATAATATCGACGATAATGAACTGTGGTCACAAGTGATGGATGAACTAGTGAATAATTTAAACGGAGAAAAAGACAAAGTGGGAGAAACATATTTGCAGGACCCTTCGAAAGTGGAAAACGCCACGAATACGATTACCTTCCAAACCAATAACTTGCAGCAAGTCCGACACTCTTCGAATCGCGATGATATCCCCAACGAAGGTGTAACGGTTGCGAAACCTGTGTCTTGGTCCGACGTATCGTATCCTCCGGTATCACGAGCTAACATTCCTCAGAAAGATACCCAGAAGATCGAAACGACGGACAATGCTATAAATGCGCCTTTGCTTTCAAGTTACACAAAATATGATAAAAGTTACGGCACTCTAGTTAAACAACGTCCGGCAGAAACAATCAGTACGAAGGACGATATCCATCATGAGCGTAATTTCTCCCCGTTGTTTAACTCGTTTGGTGACTCCTCGCCAACCGCGGGCGCGATCATCGCTACAAATTTCAGCTTTGATGATTTTACTACGAAAAGCTTACCAACGAGTCCTAAAGATGATTATCAAATCCCAAAGATGGTTGCTTCGTTCGAAGATCATTCTCAGCAACGCTGGTGAGTCTCGTTGAAGCTTGATAAACCGTTGCATGAGATACGGTGTACCAAGAACGATGCGGCGCGAAATTCAATTGTATGTGAAATTGATACTGATGTTCTTTTGTTATGCAGTTTTAGCAATTCCGATCGAAATACGATACCCTGGTCATCGTTAAATTTGCCATCTGTAAAAGCAAGCGAAAAATTGAAAGAAAAATTGGATCCGCAAGAAGTGAAGAAGGCTATGATTAGTCTGCTTAAACGGTCGGCAAAAGAACTAGCCAAACAGGACAAAGATGGAGATACGTAAGTGATTTCAAATCGATCGATTATGTACTCGTGAGCTGCTTGATGTAATTGCTTTTCTGTCCACAGAAAACTGATGTGCTTGGTTGGCAACCCGAACGAACTTGTTCAAAAGATGGCCTATTTGGTACCACTCGTAGAACGTATGAGTACAATCACAGGAGCTTTAACGATTATGAACAATCGCGGCGATGATGCGCTTTACTTGGCTGCTCTGAATTGTCCACAATTTCCGTTCGTTGCTGGTTATTTAGCTGCGACTATGTTGGAAAAAGGAATCAACTTCACTCAACGATTGTATCATACTCGAGTATATTACTTTCTCTTCCTTTCTTCCCATCATTCTTATTTCTCTCCGTCATTTTTTCAATATGCAAAATGTTTTTACATAATGCCTTCCTGATTTCTCCGTTTCTTAAAATTGTTGCATCCTTGTTACAGGGGGATACACTGATACATTCGATCGCTTCACAAGGGGATTCTCATGAAGAAACTCTAGCTGAATTGTTGGATTTGAGAACCATCCAAGGGAACCGGCTATTTGACCTATCGAAACGTAACTATGATGGTTAGTTTGGATTATAGTGTTTCTCTCTCCTTGTGAAAGAAAACAATCAGTCTTACGTTTGTTCGTGTTTCCTCGTACGTAGGTAGAACAGCGCTCCACATTGCGATCGAATCGCATATACCATTTACAAAAGGAATCACGTCATTGGGAACGATAAAGCTACTGTTAAAATACGGAGCAGATCCTAGAATCAAAGAAACAAAATATGGGAACAATGCATTACATATGGCGGTTTCTTTGGATTGCGATCCTGTTCTTGTAAAGGTATTGTTTTATTCATTGAGAGTCGGTTTGTTCTACCTTTACCATAACTATTTCTCATCTTCCCTAATCGATTTGATTTATGCGCAAACGCGCTACCAATAGTTATTACTGGATACTTGGGCTTCTGATTTGGTGAACGCCGTCAATTACAATCACGATACAGCGTTGCACGCGGTAGCAGCTATGTCGACCAACGTTTCCTTCGACAGACAGAAGGAAGTGTGTTGGCTATTGGTTCAGGCCGGAGGCCACACGAATTTACTGAATCATGAAGGAAAAACACCGTTAGATCTTGTTTCCACGGACAGGAAGGGAGCTATCAGAGAGATTTTTCACAAGAGGTCTTAAGGACGAACGTAGCATCGCAATATTTTAATATTGCAATGTTGCTACACCGCACTCTCTCGTATCGTTTTACATATACGTATATTATCGTTTACGCATCTTATCATTCGAACTGTTTCTCTGCTACAGACCGTCTTTTATACAGTCTCCCAAATATGGATAAGAAAACAAATCAATTTCGATAACAGGAATTAGGTTGTAGAAATATCGTTATACAGATCCATGATACAAATACACAGTTGAGATGTAAGTGCTGTTTTTCTTTCAAGATTTCATAACCATCGGCTATATATATATATATACAGTTTGTATATATACATATGTACATAGTATGGCAAGTTTATCATAAAAATAACGTCGCATAATGGAAAATATCGCAACCGACATTTTTTTGTACAACCGCATTGCAGAACTAAAGAAAAATGAGAAAAAGAACGAAAGTTATCGAATACGTTGAAACTTTATCGAACTTTTGACGGATTTGTATACATTATATCCTTTTCCGGTACAAAATTGAATAGTCGAGTACCATATGTTTCGAGCGAACTGACTCACGCACATTACCCTATCCCAAATTTATTGGATGGGACGTGTTGCCACCGAATTACCCGTATGTCATTCAATATGAAAGCGGCATGAAACAAGTGTCCATCTTAATCCTAACGATCAGCCTCTCGCAAGAGTTTATTCGATGTTCGACCTTTGTAGCGATACCGTGTTATTTTTTTCTACGTTTCTATCATGTAAAGTTGCTTTAAGTGCATTATAATTTTCGTTCTTCTGCTAAACTCGTGAATTTTAAGCAATTCAATCCCAGTGAATGTTTTATAAAGAAGGAAAAGAGGAAGGAAGGAAGAATATACATATATATATACATATATAACGGAAAAGAGTCGATCGGAAATACGAGATAAAGTTCAGCCTACAAACGAAATTTACGGAGATAAATCTCTGGAAAATTGTAGGAAATGAAGACAATATCGACAGTGATGAGTAGTTGCGCGCTATTACTGATAACAGCTGCAAGTAATATTAGCGAACAATGCAAAATTCATGAAATGACGACAGTTGATTGCCACTGCATTGGAAATGAGGTATGAGTAATGTGAGTAATTCAAAAAGGATTTCGTTGCAAAATTTCTTTTCCTTTACAGGAATTTTTCCTGCCAGAAGGATACAACTATGAAAATGTGACGGCTATACAAATCGCGTCCTGCAACATTGCGAATCTTCATTTTTCCAGTTTAACGGAAGCGAGTCAAATTACGGAAATTATCGTGCAAAATATTAGTGAACGTTTGATCTTTGAATTATTTTTAACATCAAAAAGATTGAAACGACTCAAGTTGTCGAGAATTGGCCGAATACCATTAATTAGTCGTGACACGTTCGTTAGACTTAAAAGCATTGAAACACTTCGTATCGAAGATACGCGGATTAATAATTTCGCGGAACGATTCACCGACATAGCGATAACCAACTTTTCGATGATCAATGTTACGATCGAACGTATCGATCAGCTTAGTTTCTCGGCAAAGGGTGAAATTCTACACATTAAAAATAGTGAATTTCAAAATGTTACAGGTTCGTTGAATTTCGCTTACTTCTCAACCGTAGAGATTCTTCATTCCAAGTTTCAATTGAATAAACCGGGTTATATATTGATCGAAGGTAATATCGTCTATATCGAGGACTGTGTTTTTTCCAATTCGAGCGCAAACGTAGTTGCGGCGGGAAGCATTAAGATAAATGATACTTGCGCAGATGGGAAAAGCTCTATGAGACTCTCATCGAATAATATTAAAAGTGTAAACAATCGATTGCCTACCGAAATCATTTATACCAAGAATAAAAACGAATCAGAGCATTTTTTCAGTCGAAATAATACAGTGTGTATTGCTGGAAATTGCAAATGTCCGAAAAGCAGTGGTCAGAGTCCACAGTTAGTAAGCATGTTTCTGGCATATACTTTCCAATTTTTCTTACCAATCGTTATTCTGCTATCGATACTACCTTAATTTCGTTTTGGAACAAGAAACGCCTTATCTTTTTCTTTGTTTCTAAACTATTCAAATCATGGAATCCTGTTATTCGATGAAATTATTCTCTATCGTTCTGTCTCTTATGACACATGTTTTCTCCATCCCTGAATTATGTATGCAATTAATGCAGGACCTGGTTGTTCTTTGTTAAATGATTTTCAAATTTTTCTGAATTTTCAATTTTAATGCTTTCATTCAATTCTAATACTTTTATTTAATGATTGCTGTTAACACGTACGTAGATTCTTCTTTCATTGTAAATTTTCTATAGTTTGATGGCCTGAAAACATATAATTTATAAATATAATAGTGGAGTATACTCCTGCTTATGATTGCTTTTTTATGTACATAATATGTGATTACTTTTACCAAAGAAAAAAATTACAGTATAAAAAAAGATATACGTTGGATGCTGAATACTTGATAATTGTATTGTATTAATACATTGCATCTAACATGATTAATACTGTCAAACTTATCTGGTATCTTAGTATTTGCAGTCTGTAATATCGTAGAGTAAGCCAAATTCATTCAAATGTGACAATTTATTCCATAGCTCCATGATCCGTTCCTACAAAATAAAAACATATGTTATATATGCAAATTTGAAGAATTTTTGGGAATATTATACACAAGCTAAATTATACAAAACAAAGCATAATTTAAAATTATAATTCTATATCATGTAAAACTTGAAATGTTTTTCACGTTTTATCTTCAATCACCGTCGTGAACTATAAAAATGAATAAACAGAAAGTGCAAATATATGTATCTTACTCTATTGTTGAAAGATTTCATTAGAGAAAATGCATTTTTTGTAGTATGTGTAGAATACAGTGTAACATCATGCCACATAACCTAAAATATGAACCTTGAAAGAAGGAAGTGATATGTTACCCCACAATATAAAACGACAAGTTTCGAAATACATAATGAATATTCAGTTTTATCAGAGAACTCGATAGTGGACATAAATTTATGAATAAGAATCCTCTTTCATTACATTTACGAAAAAATATGTCAAATCTAGTGAGACGGATTGTCTAGTAACAGTTACTATGTAAAATTTCTATATTTTTTCTGATTAATAAACGCAATAAATTTGTAAAAATGTAAAGAAAATAATACAATTTAATCTTATATCAAATTAATCAAGATACCTAATTCTCGGACGCAAATAGGTTGTACCACGATCTATACAGATTTGGAATACAATCTCATTGTAGGAGTAAGGCTCTAGATGTTCAGGCGATGTTAGTCAACTCGTCCGTAGTCGGACGCTTCAATCGACAAGTTAGGATTCGTTGTGTAAAGCAATCTGTGTAACGCAAATAAAAGAATAGCGCGGTCTCGGTTATTTCCGTCACCTTTTCTCTCTCCAATGCATTCACGTACTTGACTCCTGGTGGACCGAATATCAGGGGGATATAAGAAAAAAAACAGCATGACAATAATGATAATAGAGACTAAGTTTTGTCTGACATATACGATTACTATGATTATAATATTATTAGTTTGTATCTAACTAATGTCTAACAAATGTTATACAATACAAATATATGTTTCATTATTAGAAACCTCTGTAAACTAAAATTATACTATAATTTTGCTTTTTTAGTAGAAAATTATGGATTATGATTGTTTACATATTTATAGACAATGTCAATAGTTACACAATTTTTTAACGAAATAAAAAAAATTAAATAAATGCTTACTTTCCAATATTGGCGTCAAATATTTAAATATATGTATACATATCTTATTTGGAAGTTGTAATTTCAAGCATTTTTATTGGAGATAATACATATTTAACACTAGGTTTACGGACGTTTCTTATATACCTATCTCTAAGAGCACCCGTCAAATTGACGGGTAAACGAAAACACGCCTTTTCTTTAAAAAATCGGTTTATTCAAACTAAGTCTGAATTAAACAATATTAGGCTTCACGTTTAAATAAATTATTAATAAGTAAAGTCTCTTTTTAAAAAATGGTTTCTGGAACACGTTTATAATTGTCTTATACTTGTACACCTTATAACAAGTCTGGCTATTACTTATAAATCTGTTCCATATTTCGGATATCAGCGCTAATTTATCTGTTTGTAATCTTTCGGAAGCTTTCAATGATCTTGCTTCATATGCGCCTAGGGCATATAGAATTCTTAGAAAACTACGTAACTCAGCAATTGTGATTGATCAGTCTTTTTTCAAAACTCGATGTGCCTCGGTTTCAGTGCAATCTTTTATGTGTCCCATTATGTGTCTGTCAATTGTCAATTCGAAAGCACTAGTTACACAACCCTAGATAATAGATAGAATAGATAATATTCTCTTAGCATAGCCAGTAGGTCCTGCGATATCCTTGAATAGGAACGGGCGTCCCATCCCTAGATCCGCCTGCTTTCAGTTTTATCCACTGTGTCCCGTCAATTGCAATTTCAATTTCACCCATTACATTTTGGGACGTGTTTGGAATGCTCGTCCTCTCATCCTCGGAGTCAGAACTAGAAAAAATACGCATCCTTTTCTTGTTACGACACACTTTCAAGAAGTTTTCCTTTTCACTATCCGAAGATCCTTCTATCCCTCCACTTTCAATGTATTCAGAATTTTCACTGTCAGCTTAGAGTCAACAAACACCGAAACCCCCTAATCACTGGACTACTTGATACGACGGACCAGATTCGCAGGCTGAAGAGACACTACCCGCTAGACCTAAACGCTAGATTCAATTAGTTATTTAAATTAAGTAATATTTACTTATTTATAATACTTACTTATAAATTATACTTATCTATAATAAGTATTAACTTATTATAAATAATCAGCCATGTCACTGCGTCACGCCAGAAAAATTACTGAAAATTCTCAACGCGAGAATTGATTGTAATTTTAATAAATAATAATAAAAACAAAAAAGAAAAACTGTCAGCTTCGCTTTGGCCTAATTCACTCCGATCTTCTTCGGAAGTATCCTCAGAACAATCTTCACTGATGTTAACAATTTTGTTCAATATCTTATTATATCTCCTGGATTTACTTATGATTGCTAGAAAAGGGGGATTGGTTAAAATAAAAAAATACTGTGCCCAAATTCAATTACTATTGTAAATACTTACAATAAGCGGGCACTGTCTACAATAACTGAGACTTTTGCATACTGTCTTTGAAAAACGTTCTTACACTGTCACTGCAGCAATCATACTGAAGATCGTTATTATAGTAAAAACTTTTCTTTCATTCTTATATTTATTATTGGAGGAATGGTTTTACGAACGAAGCAAACATATAAGGATTATTCATGAAATCAGCTAGCCCGTCAATTTAACGGGTGTTCAAATTTCAAAAATTGAAAAGCTTAGGAAAGAATAATTGTGTTTATAAATTCTTTGGATGAAATGATTAATATACGATACAAAATGATTAAAATTAATGCTACGGTTTTTGGGGTATTTCATTTCGAAGTTTGAAATTCTTCAAATTGGCGGATCCCGTAAACCTAGTTTTAATAATGATTCATAATTAATATTCATTTAAATAACGTTTTTCTCTATCAAATGAAATACTTATTTTGAATAAATGGAGAAAAGTTATGGGAAGTACATAGTTTAATCACAGAGGAGATATAAAAATAGATAAATCACCTTATGGACATTTCGCAGCTCAGTGTGATTACCGTACCGACTTAGGCATTCGATTTTAATTTTAACGTCCTTTACTCATGAACAACGGTCACTTAAGAAAGTATTTATTGTAGAAGTGTTAGTGACAGCTAACACACGACTGGAGACGTTTGATAAGCAATTGCAGGCTCAATGCAACGATGGTTTGTACCCTGCGAATTTATAATATACAGGGTGGTTGGTAACTGGAGGTACAAGTGGGAAAGGGGTGATTCTACGCGAAAAAGGAAGTCGAAAATATAGAATAAAAATTAAAAAAAAAAATTTTTTTTTTAATTTTTCCATCGAGACAACGATCTATAGCGAGATCCGTTGTAACGAGATGTGATAAAGTGCACGCGTACCGAGCAAGCATTCAAAGTCGATTTTCTCAAAAACAAAGCCTCAAACGAAAACTTTTTATTCTATATTTTCGACTTTTTTCGAGTAGAATCACCCCCTTTCCGCTTGTACCGCCAGTTACCAACCACCCTGTATATACGCACATATTTATATGTACGTATGAAGTGATAACGAACAAAACAACGCGTCGCAGCTTTGCGGCGGTTTTTATGATATTATTAAATTAAATATTTTCAAAATGATAAAACATCTTTAAAACTTTCTTCGTATATATTTATAAAACTTTCTTTCATATATATGTCGGAGATGGAAGGACAGCGGGACTTTCCGTCGGGAATGCTGGGAAAAACTTCCCATCACCATAGTCAAGATTTTAATGTTTAAGCAATAAAAATAAGGAAAACAACTTTTAATGTTCCAACCTGGCGTTACGATGATGGGTTCAGGTTTAAGGTGACATAACGGGTCACCGGACGTAGCCACGGTCACGGGAGGACCGCGTACCTGACAGAGGTACGGAATGATTTTATGACTCTCCTTAAAAACAAGAATTTACCCGAGAAGCGGGGACAAGAGTATATAAGGGTAGGTTCATCTGGATTGAGAGAATTTTTAGTTAGTGAGTCGTTGAGCGAATTGCCGAGTAAGTCACGCTGATACTGGTCATCTCGTGGATTCGTTGTCACCATCATCTCGGACATCCTATTGCCGTTACTCATAGCCTCTTGTAGTGCCCATATTCGCAATGATAAATACTAACCACATCCGCGACGATAAAGTAAGTAAAGGTTCATAGAACGCCCCAAAGTGCCAACCTGACTCCGACATATATATGTTGGAGTTACACTGGGAGTAAGGTTGTGGGCGTCAGATGTATCTTCACGGGAATTAGCCATTAATGCGGTACAACACAGGTGTAGTTTATTACAATAATGGGATTGTTACAGTCTTGACAATTAATCATAGCGATTAGGCACTCGCGACGTTAGTGACAATGGCTTCAGGTTCGTCAACGAATTTACGGTCAACGGGATGACGAATGCGATCTGATTCACGTATGACTCCACGTACAAGTAACTTATCTGCAAGAACTCCAAGCCAAAGAAAGAAGAAGAGCGAAAGAAAAAAATCCAAGTGGGACTGTCCTTATATATTCCTCTCCCCACCTCTCGGGTCCATCTTTGTTTTTAAGGAGAGCTATATAATCATTCTATCCCTTTGTCAGGTACACGTCCCTCCCGTGACCGTGGTTACGTCTAGTGACCCGCTATGTCACCTTGAACCCGAACCCATCGTCATAAAGCCAGGTTGGAACATTAAAACTATTTCTTATTTTTTATTGCTTAAATGTAGCTATAGTAAAAGTCTGGACTAGGGTATTGGGGGTTTTCCCAACATTCCAGACGGAAATTCCCGCTGTCCTTCCATCTCCGACATATATATGTCGGAGATGAAAGAACACCGGAGTCTTTG